GTCCAGCAAGGTAAGTATCGTCTACTCAGACTAGCAGTGGCTCAACAGGGTCTCAGGCGGAGGTCTTTCACATCACCGACTGCCTGGACCCTTTAACTGTCCCCTCTATAGATCATTGGTACATTAAACTATGGGAATATCTGATTGATGACAAAATTGCTGAATGGTCCGCCCAACATAGTCTAATCAAAAATACTCACAGTCCGATGAACAAATGGAAGGTTTTGCTAGCTAAACAAAACAGGTTTATGATGCTCAGACCATGTAATCCTTGGACAAATGCCTTGGTTGTCACTATACATGTTTCATTAGGTTGTTGTCGTTATTTAACCTTCAATTTGGATGGTATCTATAAGTTTGATACAGTTATTGTTGTTAAGTTGTTTGTTAATAAGATACTGCTTGGAAAGTTAACTTCATCTTCTTTGCTGTTACTGTATCAATATTTTTATTGTCTGTTGATATTAATGTTCCCTCTAAACTGTGGAGTCTTGTGAGCAGAAATTCTACTTTGTGAGCTCCTGGCATTAAAGTTGTGAGCGAGCGATTTGGCTACTGCATAAATTAGTTTGCTCTGGAGCCCTCCTTCCTGAGCCGAGACAAGAATGTGTGAGCCGGAAGCTAAAAAACTGTGAGCTAGCTCACACTAACTCAGCTTAGAGGGAACAGTGTACTGTAATCGTATAAAATAAAATAAAAATAAAATTGGGGAAAAAACTGGAGACACTGGGGATTGAACCAGGGACTTCCTGTACACCAAGCAGAGGGTCTTCCCCTGAGCCACAGCCCAACCCAATGGCCCACACGTATATAATATATATATTATATATTATAGCAAACAAAGCACAATATCATCATTTTGCCAAGCAGACCTACAGCACACAAAGCTGGCTCAGTGCAGGCAGACTTTAGACAGCTATTGGGTCCTCTGCACGCGGCTTAGATCGGCCAACCGAGTACCGCCGATTTCAAGGTTTTGTTTTTCAGGCCCCAAAAGGCATAAACCTCCATATTTTTAAAAAAAACAACTGTGTTTTACGCTGTTGACTCCAGAAACAGATTTTTTTTTGGTAATTGTTTTTTTTAATGTCCTTCGGAAGTCTATACGTGGCGTTTGACTAAGATGTTTTTCAAATGTGGCTTCTACTGAAAATGCCAACCTTCGTTAATATGTCCTGTACTAGTTCTCAGTCACCTACCCCTTCCTTAACATTAGCATAACTTGCCCTGAGTCTTGGGTCATTGAGGAATGTATTTCCCCAGCCCTTTTCCATGCCAGGGGGCAGGAGATGCCCTGCCCCCTAGATCCCATGCCCACCGCCACTTAGAACAGCAGCGGAGGGTTGTTGTTTTTAATGCAGCCTCGTATACTTAGCACAAGGTCTTATCAGATGGGACAAAGGATAGCTCCAAGAATCACCAGAAACTCTTTGGTAAAACCATAGAGTTTCTGGCAATTCCTAGAGCTACCCTTTGTCACATCTGGTAAGACTATGCACTAAGTACATGAGGCGGTAAAACCATAGTTTCTGGCAATCCCTAGAACTACCCTTGGTCCCTTCCCTGGCGACCTCATTTCCACATAAGTATCTGCTACTGGCAGGTGAATACTTCATATAACTACATTGCAACAGAAAGTGAATTGTTCCCTATTCCATGGAGGTGCTAGAAAATCAACATGATACGGCATTGTCTCTTTTCAGAGAAAAAGTGCTGCTTTTGATCCCCACTGCAACTATGGGAACTGTCTAATACCCGAGTGGTTAATTTCAGTGGCGGCTGCAAAATTCCTGAAAGTGCTCAGTTACTGTGCAGGATTTCTCCAGTCTAAGCCCAAAAGTTCTGCTCTTTGGGTTTCTCTCCAGCAGCCACATTATCTTATGAGAAACCTTCAGGTTGGAAGCCAGGATGTAAATAGCTTAATTCATTTGTTCCTTAAAGGTCATCTAAAGAAAAAATGACATTCAAATTTTCACAGCATCAAAGTGTCGCCTGATTTCCTGCCTGAAAGATTGTCACTTGAAATTTGTGCTGGATAAGGAATCACAAACACTCTTCGAGGAAGACAAATGAGGCCTTCGGGGAAAGCCATAGGTTGTCTTTCCAATCCGTGGCTATTTCTTTCCTCCTCAAAACGATTTCCACGGCCAGTTTGCTTGGATGGAGAACGTGAGCCTTAAAGGAAATTTTCAAGCATTTTCTGGAGTCCTCAGCCATTGTTTCTTTAAAAAGCAAGATCAGTCAGAATGGACAAACCAACATTCTTTTTCTTCAGGGAAGAAAAACCCAGGAGAAAAAATAATAATAATTCAATGTCGTTTATTGAATAGGGCGGAGTCAACGGGAGACCGCAAAACCGCTGAGGGTTTCGTTTGTTTTCGAAACAGTGCTTATAAAAGAAAAAAAAAGAGGAGATAACTTTTGCCTACCTACATAATAGGGGACCCTTCGCTGAGCTGTGTCTGCCCTACTCCAAAAGCCAATCGCTTTGCTTCTTTAGTGGAGCGCGAGAACAAATGGAAGGGGCCGATACACACTCAGAGCATCATGGGTAGGGGTCAGGGGTGAAGGGAGTGGCCAAGCAGCTGCAAGGAGAAAGCAAGCACGCTAGAAAAGCTGAGGTTATTAACGGTTTTAGTAAATCAGGGAAAGCCATCAGATATGCTATTACCCAAATATCCCTTAAAACAAGACAAATAGAATACGGCATTCATAAAAATTCGTTGTTTTTTTTAAAAAAAAACCTTCGCTGCCACCCGCCAAGATTTCCTCCCTTCCCACCCCCATCCTGGACATTTCTTTTTCTCTGTTCTCGCTACAGAATAATGAAGAATATCTGAAAATTTGTTTCTTCTCTACACCTGTTCCCTAAAACCCTATCTTGGGAAAAGACGGACGGGGAGGGGAAATTTTCTCTTTGATAGTCAAGGGCAAAACATTGGTTAGCAACAAAATAATCTAAAAAGGGGAAACGTCTAAAAATAAATATAGGGAGGAGGAGACAAGCTCCCTGGACTGACAAATTTCCTTGGAATATCCTTTCATGACATTATTTCAGAACTTTTTTTTTTTTTAAACAACCCTATTTTTTTATAGCTATTGCTCTCTGTTTTCGATGACCAAAAGTGAGCGAACTCGGGGAAGAAAAGGAGTCAGCAGAACGAGGCCAGAAAGATTCAGCGTCTCACAGCGGCCTTCTATGACCACAAGGGGTTTCCTAAGAAACCTTGGACTGACGAATAACTGTTCAATGCTCCCGTTCCCATTCCTCTTCCTCAGCTTACAGTTCAGACAAGCCGTGTTTTTACGGGGAGATAAGTTTCCAAGTTGGAGGGCTCATTCAAACCATCTCTCTCTCTCTCTCTCATTGTTTAATGAGTCAACTCTAAAACAGGGGGGGGATTCCTCGTGGTCTAGATACACTACATACACCTCTCTTTCTCTCTCTTTCCCCCCCTTCTCCAAGAGAGAGGAAAGCTCACAAAAAAGCAGATGTTTTTAAATGCCCCCCTGCACTGCTTTCCTATTTAGTGAGGAAATTCATTACCATTACACAGTCAGTGCGAGGGTTGCCAGCTCCAGGTTGGGAAATACCTGGAAATTTTTTTGGGGGGTGGAGCCTGAGTAGGGCGCGGCTTGGGAAGGGGAGGGACTTCAATAGGGTATAACGCCATAGAGTCCACCTTCCAAACCGGCCATTTTCTCCCAGTGAATTGATCAGTTGTAATAGAAGGGGGCCTCCAGCCACCACCAGTTGTAATAGAAGGGGGCCCCCAGTCAACCCTAGCTGGTGCCCAATTTGAAAAATTCACACTCCACTTGACTTTAAAACTTAAATGCGGAATAAAGGGAGGAGGGAAGCGTCTTGAATTCTTTAAACTGATTAGACACCCCCTCCCGCAATTAGATCTGACAACGAAAACCTGTTTTCATTTTAGACTTCAGCCATGATGTAAGAGGAAGAAAAAAGTCAGCAAGCTCATTGATTTTCCCGTCTCTTTTCCAAAATATATATTTGTGGAGGAAAAGCTGCAAACGTTTTTAAAGAAAAATGAAAAAAACAAAAAACCCAAGCCCACGTTTGAATAACACCTGTGAGCAATGCGAACGAACTTTGTTTCCTTTCAAAGAAAAGGAGAAATGAATGCATAGATTTGCTTCCCCACCCCCCCTCCTGCAAAAATAAAAGCCACCTTAAGTGAATTGCAAGCCAGGGATATTTGAATAATAGAGAAAGACATCGCAATTGGGGTTAAGTCCTTTTTGCTAACATTCTTTGGGAGTGATGAAGGAACAGCGGAATGGAGTGAAGCGTCAAGCTATATCACCTAGTGAGAGACACAGGAAGAGAGACAAGGCAGACGGGTTTAGTTAAAAACAGACTGGATACTTTTAATACAAAGCTTGGTACCAAATTGCAATACAAACATCACGGGGAGGGGGGGGGGACCGCGGACCGCGCCCACAAAACACGTAGTCTAGTTTTACAAACGTCCTCCCGAGTCTCTACACATGCCAAAAATTAAATTAAAATGAGAATAATAATAATAATAATAATAATAATAAAGCCACATAACAGCAACAGTGATAGCAACAGGAGATGAAGGGTCGGGGTAAAAAAGTTGAGGACGAGGAGATGGGGGATAGAAAAAGGAGGTTAAGGCGGAGGCTAAACCCCCCGGTTGATTTGACAGCTCTAAGACGAGTCGTCGAGTAATAAAATAATAAGCATTAGTGACACAAGCAGATTCTTTGTTCATATAAAAAGTATACTGATCAAGTGGGCCATACTAGCCAAAAGATTTTTTTAAAAAACGATCGTCACCCAAAATGGCCGATCACAGTGCTATCCAAGATGGCGGACCACAGAACCATCTCCCTTCCGCCCCTTCCCACACTCTCATTCACTCGAAACATGGACGCTTATTTGATATTTGCTCTGTGTTATTAATCTAGTTATAACCTTGTAATCTAGTTATAACCTTATAATCTGTTATAACCTTGATCAAACGAGTCCTCCGAGGAATCACTGAAGGAAGATCCGGGTTCGGCCTCTCTGGGCACCACACAAAACTGCTGCTTCCGGCTTGCAGCCAGTTTAGATTTGAGAGTCCTAGCAGCAGGTAGGCCCTTCTTGGAGGACTTGAAGCCCCCGGAGATCCTGCTGGTCTTTTGGCCCACTGCACTGTATAGACTGGGGGGCCTCATCCGGGAGCTGGACGAGGTCTGGAAAGGCCATTCATCCTTCAGGGATTCATCGTCTTCCTCTGAGTCTGTATCTGCAGTCAACGTAAAGTTTTGGGGCAGGGAGGGAGAGGTTTCTTGTTAAATGGTTAAGTTGGCAAATTACGCTGCTGACATCTGTCTCAACAGTTACCGTAAAACAACTCAAGGATGGTACTGGGGAAACATTTGTTAGAAGAAGAAGAAGAAGAAGAAGAAGAAGAAGAAGAAGAAGAAGAAGAAGAAGAAGAAGAAGAAGAAGAAGAAGAAGAAGAAGAAGAAGAAG